GGTCCCTTTGCAAAGAAGAGCAGCATCTGGAAGGAATCATGTCAGAAGAGAGGGTAGATAAAATTAATATCACAGAATCCTATCCTTTTTTTCTCTCTTAGAATGTGTTATCACTGAAAAAAGAGAGGTGAATGTAGGTGAAAACTAAAACCTGTTAAGTTAGGAAGGCATTTTTTCCCTAGTGAAGATGCACTTCAGTGATTCAAGATCAAATTTGCAGTGTTTCTAAGTCCAATTTTGCATAGTAACAGCATTGCAAACTTAGTATGAATTATGAACATGGGTCCATGTTCTCTCTGGGAGTGTCTACACAAGATGCTTAATGCACAGTTGGTTAATTCTACTGCACATTAGCACATCACAGCAAAAACCATGCTAATGTGCAGTAGAATTAGTCTAGTGCACATTAGGTATCATAAAAAGACTGTGTGCCATTGCTACTGTGCATTGGTGCCAGCTACTGCGCATTTATTTAGTACTAAATTTAATGTGCATTAGCAACGGCACATTAATGCATGTGGAGACGCACCCACTGTGTCTTATGTAATAATAACTAACATTCTTACAATAGAAGGCAGGGCAGTCTGGCTGCATTAACTCATTCAGTGACATGCACTTTCATAGGTTAAGATCATGCCTCCCTACGTGATTTAGTCTATAAAGTACCATACTGTTCTGACCTCTGCCTAATTCAGACTAACATGATTAACTACCTCTCTCTACTTTTATAACACTTCTTATTTTGAAATACTGGATGAACGTGAGTTATAACAGTTGCCACTATGAAAACAACAGTTAAGATACAGTCATACCAGAAATTACTGTCTTTTTCCCCTGTAATTAGAATAGGAGACCAGTAACAGGGGGGTCAAAGTTGACAAAAAAGCAATATCTCATGGCTTCCTTCATAATTAATCCCCACCAAAAGCAATATGAAATAGTTAAGTGTTATAGTCCACATCGTATTGAGGGTGAAACTATGATGTGGAGCTGTGAAATTACTTGCCTGAGAGAACGCAGGGCAGAGCCACAATTAGTATTATTCTATTTAACATCTGTGTATGACACCCTAAGTGTGTGAAGTACATTGCACAGAAAGAAATGAAAGAAAAAACATAAAACAGTTGCAACCCCGAATAATTTATAATGGACTAAAAACCCACTCTCTGTTCTGTTGTGTTCCTTCAGCAAGCAAAGCACAAATGAGGTCAGAAGCAGAGATGGATAAATTCTTGTAGAAAAGAAAGTTTTGACATTCGACTCTGAACTCTGATACATATGAGAAGTTCAGCTGAGTCATCTGTACTCCTGGGATTTGCAGTGGTAAACTAGCAAAGTTACTTAGAGTGCTGATGCGTCGTCATGGTTCGCTTTAGAAGTGTATGGATAAAGGTAATTTTATTTTCTGGAGGATTTGGTCAATTGGAAATGGTCTTTCATTCTCACTAGGGAGAAAAAGCTCTAGATTTTGAAACTTTTCCTGAAGGGCTATGGATCCTGGCAGCTTGTGCTTCCCAGAGGCCTGCCAGGCAGATAAGCCAGCAGGAAACCACACAGATTTTGAAACTGCCTAATAGGATGGCCAGTTTCTGTGACACATTTTAGTTTTGATGAACAGACAAATTCTGACAAGGTATCTGGCTCCTGACTGTAGTGGTGGCTCCAGGTTATTTTTAGATGGGGCAGGATATCTCACTTCAGCTACCTATGCAAGTGGTGCTCAACCTCTGGCCCGCGGCTGTCTGGCCTGTGGGGCTCCCCATGAGTCCAGGCATGCAGTGGGGGAGCAGCATTAATTATCACAGCATGGGCATGCTGCCACTGTTCCCCCAGCTACAGATTTCCAGACCCATGGGGAGCCCCAAAGGCTAGATGATAGAGTCCCACCAGCTGGATTGTGCCAGTTTTTACGTTTGCTCTGTGGCTGGATCCAGCACGTGGGGCTGGGTCAGAGCACTGCAGACTTACCCCATGTACCAACTCCACACTGAATCTGACCTGTGGGCCAACCCTGCCCATGGGATCTGGCATTTGGGAATGGCCCCATGCCATTCATTCAGCTCATGGGGCATGAAGGTGGAGCACCACTGATACAGGACATCAAAAAGGTCTAATCCTGCAAGGTGCTGGGTGTCCCCAGGTTCTTTCTGAGTACATGATTCACAGACCCATTCTGAGTCTCCTCACTCTGGAGAACTGGGCCCTTCTTCAAGTGCTCGTTGTGTTAAGTAAAGGAGGGCATGAAACAAGTGTATTGTCTAGCAAAAATTTGGGAGATATTGAGCTATGTCTCCATCCTGAAAGAAATGAAAAGGCAAGACCTCAAAACTGTTTGTAAACAAATCCTAAAAAGAAAATAGATTCTGATATAAGCAAAATAGTTAGGTATTTGGTAGGGCATGATGGCACCTTGAAGACAAACTGGGTCAAAGAGGCACAAGTTTTCCTAGTGAGCAACCTACTTCATCATTTCTTATGAAATAAGTTGTTTCCTACAAAAGTTCATGCCTCTAAGGTGCCACCCTGATCTATCTTCTGCCTGAATTCAGACTGCCATAGCTAACTACTTCTCTGCTTAAAATACTTAGTTTTGATAATTTTGAGAAGGTTTGTATCAAGTTTTTCTGTACAAACACTCAGAGGGGAATTAGGCTGAATTTCAACATGAAAAGAATTCAAGCTGAAAAGATGGAGTTTTTTCATTTAAAACATTAAAAAAAAAGAAACCTTGCTTTTTGAGGGGGAGAAGTAAATCATTAAATCCAGTCTTTTCCCATGAAAATGACAGTTTCAACATGCTGGCATTTTCCAAGATTATTTTTATTGAAAAATTCTTGTGCTAGGGTAAGCAAGGCCCAGCTGCAGCAGCTGTTCCTTTGGAATTCCCTATTATATCATGCCTGCATGCACTGTAACACCCAAGTGAGTCTGTGCCCCCTGGGGATTGTGCATCTGGCAGAGCCTATCCTTGGAATTAGCAGCTACAGATGGTGCAGGATTGTGATGAAGGCAACATAAATCGACTATAATTCAATTTCTTTTTTTGGAGAGGGAGGCAAGGGCCTGGTTGTGTCAATGGCAGAAAGCTTGGCACGGCTGGAAATAGAACCATACAGATGAGTTGGTGGACCTAGCATCTCTCTTGGGCAGGGATTGGAGAGGGGCAGTGCAGGATGACACCTGTTTGTTCTGCCAAATTGTCAACCTTCCATGTTATGCGGCTTTTGCCTTTTCTCTTGTGAGGTTATGTACTGTCAGAACAGCTGCTGTTGATACACTGGGACTTCCTCGTTGGTGGGCCTGAACAAGAATAATGTGGGTCACCGTCAGCCACTTGTAAACTTACAGAAGTTTGTAGGTTCAAGGACATGGGAATGGGTGGGTTCCCACATAACCTGAGCCTGCTTGCATTGCCTTGCACACCAGCCGGTGGGGCAGAAGCACTAAGTGTGCTCCAAAACACCTTTTCAACCATAAGCCCAATCAAATATTTGCATAAGTGCCACCCTGCCTTCCTCATTGCCCCTGCACGGGGTGAGAAAGCAATCAATGATCCCTGATACCCAGGCTCTAACCTCTGCCTGTGCCACAGACTATACCCAAATTGTTCTCATAAAAATAAAACAGGAGTTCCTTTGAAGGAGGTTAAATGGGTTTTATTCTTTGAGTTTGTGGGGTTTATGTGCCTTGAGTTCAACAGATTGACTTTACCTGGGGGTGAGGTTTGGGCTGGTCTGACAAATCTTCTGTGGGAGCAGAGTGAGGTAGAGCTAGTGCAATGGTCCTGGGTGGTGCTTCTGTGCCATGGGGTGCAGGCTGAGCAATTGGGGCATCTTCAAATGAGTAGGGATGTGGGATGCCTTTCCTTCTGCTGTGGTCCTGGCCAGAGTACAGACTAGCCTCCTTGCTCTCTCTGTCTAGCAGGAGGCCTCTAATAAAACAAAACCAAAATCCCATGCCACAGATTGTTCTGGGCATGAGGCTTTTTCTGTCTCCAGCACCCAGCATGCTTAAAGCTGGCCCAGTTGGCAGGGGAAATAAGTTTTGGAGCAGGTGGCTGCGAGGAGGGAGGGGACACCATGGTTCTTGGCATGGATGCCAATTTGAGATGACCAGATTTCCAAAGTCCCAACTAAGGGACACCTGTGGGATCAGCTGTCTTGGGGCCCAGGAGGGGTGCATGGAAGGGGCTGAGCAGCCAAAGGGAAGAGGACACGTGGGCTTTGCCTACTCCATACCTCCCCTGCCACTCTGTGGATTTAATGGCACATGTCAAAGGTGCATGACCTCCCAGGCCTATTCTCAGGAGCTTGACTGAAGGCCTCAGGATGGTAGGGCACAGAAAACCGGCATGCAGCAGATCTTGAGCATGGGCTGGTTCTTGAGGGGCACCTGTATCAAGCCAGCCTGTTGCCAGTGTCCCCAACCCATATGGCCTGCAGTTTCTACAGCACGAGGAGAATTACTGCGGCTCAGGGGTAGAATCCAAAGCCAAGGGCAGTCTTGATTTTCAGGGACACATGGTTACCCACATCTCATCAAATGCACTTGCAGTGTGTCAGGAGATGAGCATCTGGGAGAAGATCTGCTTGAACCAGTTGCATTGTATGCATAAGCCAAATTTCCCATTTCCTCTCTCAACAATATTCTTTCCTCTTGTACAGGGGGAGAGAGAAAGAGAATGAGAAGGAGGGAAAATGCCAAGCAGCTACAAATAAGCGCTGACAACCTTTGCTCTTGAAACTTTTCTCCAGCTCTAAGATGCCCGCAACAATCTTTGTGCAGATTATAAGAGATTGCTCTGTGGACAATGTGAGTACCTGTGTGACTGCCAAACAAAGCCGTGTCTCTTTAAGCAAGAAGGTAACTTGGAAGAGAGGGGTGTGTCCTCTCTCTCAGCAACTCGCGGGCAGGTTGTATCTGTTTCTGGAGCACCGCCAAGGTGCCTGCCGTACAACCATCCAGCCCTCTCCCAAACTGACATTTCTGCAGGAGCATCTGTCTCCCACTCAGATCGTCTTGTCCTACTGGCAGAACCGGGAGGGGGGAAAAACCAACAAACATTTGCAAAGAAACAGCAAAGGGAGAAAGAGATGGAGCCACGGGTCTGAGTTTCGGCTGAAGAGGGCAAAGACACAGGACGATGGGGATGTTCCTGCCTAGGAAACACGGGCTGCTCCTCAGGCTCTGGAGCTCTCTGTTGCGCAGCTTACAGGGTGAAAAATCCTGGGCCAGGCGCCTGGATGAAATCAACCTGCTGCAGCAGAAAAGGTATGTCTTGGCCTGGCCGTTCCTTCACCCTACCTTTTTTTTACCCCACTCAATTTTATTGCATGTCAATCTCCCCCCAAGAGCTCTTCTTGCAACTTGGAAATGGAGAGTGGGCTCTGAGCACTCACCTGAGTCCCCGTCTTTCTGAGAGGCAGCTGTGTCATTTCACATGTCCCCCCCGCTCCTACTCAGTGACACTGCAAGGCATTCTGACTGGATCCCTGAGGGAAAAGCTGCTCTCAGTTTTCACCTGTTTTCTGCATTTGGCTTCCATGCAAAGAATAACCGCTGCCTCCGGCCAGCAGGGAAGCACTTCTGACTTGCCTGTGTTGCTGTCTCTAGGGCACTTTGTGCCTCCAGAGATAGCAGTGGCAAAAACCACCAGGTACTAAATGAATGTGCCCCTCTTCCTTCAGGTGTCTGCATAACCAGGGCCCCTGCGACGGTCCTGTTTGGGTGGCAGAGCGGGGTAAAAAAATGATAGGGAGCTCTTGCTGCCTGTAAAGGTCTCTGTTCTCACATGAACAGCACGCTGCTCCCCTTGTGACACAGCACAGCTGTGCCACGTGAGTGTCAGGTCAAGTCCACAACTGCTGCCCACCCTCTACCAACATGGCAGTGAGGGACCAGCAAATATACTTCCCTTATGTCTGAATCTTTGGAAATGCTGCTCCCATCCCAGCAACCACCCGAACTGTGATCCCTCTGTGTAGCAGGGGAGCATGGCTGCTATTCCACAGTGCTGGTTTGGCTGAAGGGCTTAGCAGTTGGCACCTGAAGTGTGGCTTGCAGCAAACTCACTCCATCAGGCCCAGTGGCAGGACCAAGTCTTGAGAAATCTGGCTTCCAGAGGAGCCCCTAGTCTCTCCATCCCTCCAGGAGGTTCTTGAATCCATCTAATTATCAGTCTTCAAAGACTGGTGGTACTAGCCTGTGGAAGTGGGGGTGTTCAAGGTGGGCTGGCAGCTTCATCGTCCACACACTGGAACGTGATAGTGCCTTAGGAGCGGAGACAACACTCCTACAAGACTGAACACGGAGATGGGGATGCTTCGTACTCTGTAGTGCAGCAGCCATGGTGCACAGTCATCCTAATGCAATGTGAGTGGGGAGAGCTCTAGTCACCATGCTAGGAATTATGGGGCATTGTGTTAGCTTCCTAGGTTAGTCACTGCTGGGCACATATATAGCAGACTAGGCTTGACTGATCAGTGATCTACTGTGCCATAGTCAGTGTGACATGCACACTGTAATAACGTTTAGCACTTCTACAGCAGCTTCCATTGGGGTGTACACGAGTATGTCACACTAATGAATTATGTCTTGGCTTGGTGTCAGTATCTGTTTTACAGATGAGCAAACGAAAGCACAAATGGGGTTAAATGACATGCCTGAGGTGACACAGGGACAGAGCCAGGATAGCAACCAGAAATTATGCTATTGGACCTCTCCCCTAACAACTAGATAGAGCTCTCTACTATGGCCCTAATATACAGTATAGTGAGAATCCCTTCTCAGTGTGTGTGTGTGGGGAAGAGGGGGGGTTCAAAAATGACAAAAGCCTGATGTTAGACTATGTAAGGGGAGAGCACACTAATGAAAATACTCTTACACCCTCTAATAAATCAATGGGGCACCATCTGCTGGAATACTTTATCCATTTACAATCATCCTATTTCCAAAAGGGATGTAGCAGAAAATGTGTGGGTTCAGAGATAGGCAATGAGCTTGTTTTAAAGGGAAGCCAACATGGAAGTATGATGTGAGACTTGGCAAGACTGAAAATGTAGAGTTTGGTGGGGAACTGAATCAGCAGGGAGGCAGGAGGTGTTTAGAGAATAATGAATTGGCTAGAGCAGGTAAATAAGATGCTCCTACCCAGCCCTTCTCTTTGTACAAGAACAAGAAGTTCCCCAATGAATTTGGAAAGCAGTACATTTAGAACTGACAAAAGGAAATGTTTCTTACATGATATATAATTATAAACAGGTGAAACTCATTGCCACAGGGGCTGGCAGAAATCAAGATTGTAGCGTGATTCAGAAAAAAAGATTAGAACATACCTAGTTATACTAGGTACAGCACTACAGTAGGTAGAGCAAAATGATGTGAGAGGTTTAAACCCTTGTGCCATGAAGCATGAGCCCACTGCAAAACTGGCTGAGTCTAAATGAGACCCCTCACTATGGGCTCATTAAATAAGGGGCTTCCAAAGCACCTAGTATCGGCCAAAGAATACAGTACAGAGCTAGGGGCACTACCG